AAGGGACTACCAAGATACTAAGAAGTCTATAGAAGACTGGCATAACAGCTTGAAAGAAACTAAGGACAGACTATCTGAACTGGAGGGCAGACTAGTAATATGGGAGAATGAAATGAAAAACTTCTTAAAAATAACAAAGAAACAAACAGCAATAATACAAAGACAAGAAGATGATAAGAGGATCCATAACTTAAGGATTAAGAACATAAAAGAAGAAGTAGGGACACAAACAAGTGAACTACAAAAGCTACTCACAGAAATAATCCAGGAGAATTTTCCTAATTTAGCAAAAGGTAAAGATACTCAGATGTATGAGGCATACAGGACCCCAGCTACCTACAACCCAAACAGAGCAACACCCAGGCATATAATAATAAAAATTCCAGAAATTCAATACAAGAACAGGATATTAAAAGCTGTAAGAGACAAGAAACAGACCACTTACAAGGGAACACCCATCAGAATTACAGCAGATTTCTCTGCACAAACCATCAAATCACGAAGAGCGTGGGGGGAAATAATTCAAGCATTGAAAGATAATAATCTCCAGCCAAGATTGAGATATCCTGCACAACTGTCCCTGGAAATTGATGGAAAAACGAGGTGCTTCCAGGATAAAGAGGAACTAAGGGAATTTGCAACCACCAATTCAACTCTACAGAGAGTATTGCAGGATATTCTAAAAAAAGAAAAATACAAAGAATCCAGAAATAATGGCAGAGAGGCCACAATTAATGGAGCAGAGAACAAAATGAAGAAGACAAACTGACAGCTACGGACAGAAAAAGAGCTTAACAGAAATGAGGCAGAGAAGATTGGATGATAGGAACAGCTATTTTGGAGAAAATGACATCTTAATAGGTAATACAGATTTAGTATCATCTTGTTTTGAAGTCTCATCTAGCTTTTGTCCTTCTTTCTGTCTCCAATGGTCTAAATAGGCTGTATCTTATTGGATTTTATTATGTACGATAGTATAAGCAAAAACCTTTTAAAGACAAGGAGATTATACAGAAACCATTGTTCATTTTGTTAGTCGATTCTAAATACTCTGTAATGCTGTCATTCTCTTAAATGGTTTTACATTGTTTTGATATACTTAATGCTACAGTATACGAAGTTGTACTCAAGGATTTCAAAGAAAGAAACAATATGGTAACTACTTTTAGGTTAGGATTATCTGGTGGTGAAACACTATTCTGCTTAAATAGTTATGTTTTGATCTGCGCTGTTTCGTTGTTATGCCCTCTTTTATCTCAATCTCCACTCCATTATTTACTTTTTTATCTTTATCCTTTTAATTAAAGGAAAAAAAATAGCAGGATATATTATAGTAACCCACTTTGACTTTTCATTACCTTGATTTAAAGCCCTGTATTACTCTCACCATCTGGTTCTTAACTGATGTTCCCCTATTCTGTTTTGCTGGATAGTATCAGGTTCGAAAGTTTAGGCATCAGCTGTGAAGATAATGAGATTCATTATGACGCCCATTCTTGTTGACTTTTATCTACTTTTGAAGACCTACAATGTCTCCAATGTTTTGGTTTTGTTGGTTTTATTCTTTACTGTTTTGTTCAATTGTATTATAACTAATGATATAGGCAATTCTATTAGAGATAGCGGGAGGCATTATGGTAACCATTGTTGATCACCTTGTATTATGTTTTTACATTATCTATTATGTCCACCCTTTTGACTTGACCGATTCTGTTCTGTTATGTCACATTTGGTTTTACTCTCTCCCAAAAAAGTAATAAGAACCGTGGGAGCAATGAAACCCAAAATGTGTAATAGTCATGGTACAAAAGAGAGGAAAAGAAAGTGCTCCAAACTATATAACTGCATGTATATTTAAGTGTATAAGATAGAAAATGATATCACAGAGTTTTGTTGGATCAATGAACAGAACTGTTTGCAGTATCATTGATGGAATGTCCACTTTACAAGCTTTAATTTTGTGACTTGAACAATTATTTCTAAGATGACAATATGTAATCCATTAACTAGTGATTTCCTACTGTTCATTTTTTTTCTGTAAATCTGTATAACTTGTACCCTTTCCCTGCTTTTTTTTTCTTTTCTCCTTAAATAAAAAAAAAAAAAAAGACATATTAAAAAAAAAAAAAAAATAACACTTCCGATACACTGGCCCTGTCTGCAACTCACTAGCACACAGCAGGGTGAAGGGTCATCTAGCCAGCGAGCTTCAGAAGAATTGTAACCAGCAAAGAAAGAAACTGGACCCTCCTGGAAGAAGCAAAAAAGATGGGAAGAGGAAGCAACAACAAAAAGTCCCTAGGCCCCAACCCTGAGAAGACTGACACAGGACAGCTAAATACAAAGGAGAATGAGAACAGCAAACATGCAATATCAGACACAGCACCAGTGGACATCAAGAGATATATTCAGGATCTCATAGACAAGTTCAAAAGTGAAATATTTAGGGGCTCGGGATTTAGCTCAGCTGCATAAGCACCTATCTGCCTTGCAGGAAGGTAGTCGTAAGTTCAATCCCCGGTACCGATAAGAAGTTAAAAAAAAAAAAAAAAGAAATATTTAGCCAAGTAAAGCAAGATATAAGAAGATTAATAAAAGAGATACTAAGCACCCCTCAAGCAGACACAGACAGAAGAAGGGAGGAACTCAAACGAAGGAGAGAACCATTTGATGAAGAACATAAAGAAAATATAGAATACATGAAGCAGATTCAAAGAGATCACCAGGAAATGAAAAACTCCATGCAAAGATGGCAAACCAGCTTGAAAGAAACTAAGGATAGATTATCCAAACTGGAGGACAACTTTGCAATGTGGGAGTATGAAAGGGAAAATTTTTTTAAAATAACAAGTAAACAAGCAGTAACAATACAAAGACTAGAAGATGACAAAAGGATCTATAACGAGAATAAAGAATGTGAATGAAGAAGCTGGGGTACAAACAAAGGAACTACAAAGGCTATTGACATAAATAATTAAGGAAAACTTCCCAAACACAGGAAAAGGAAATGATATTCTGATATATGAGGCACACAGAACTCCAGCCACCTACAACCAAAACAGAGCTATACCCAGGAATATAATAATCAAGATCCCAGAAATTCAATATAAGAACAGAATATTAAAAGCTGTTAGAGACAAGAAACAGATAACCTATAGAGGAAGGCCCATCAGAATAATGGCAGACTTCTCGACACAAACCATCAAGTCAAGAGGAGCCTGGAGCAAAATATTTCAAGCCCTGAAAGAAAATAACCTCCAGCCCAGATTGATATACCCTGTTAAACTGTCTCTAGAAATTAATGGAGAAACGAGATGCTTCCAAGACAAAGAACAACTTGGGAAACTCATGACCACCAACCCAACTCTACAGAGAATACTGCAGGGCATTCTAGAGAGAGAGGGAAAAGTACTAGGATTCCTGGAACAGTGGCAGAGAGGCCTCAATGAACGGAGCAGAAAACAGAATGAAGAAGATAAGCAAGACAACTGATGGCAAAAAAAGAGCATAACAGAAATGAGGCAGAGAAGATTTTATTCAAAACTGGTATGACTGATAGTATCCAGTCTGAGAGTAAAGGCAACTACATGGAAGATGACAAGACTCTACAATACACATTTTGGGTTGATAACTACCAATTTTCGAAGTTCTACACTATATACAAAGTTGTATTTTTATTAATACTGTTATGTACTGATATATTCAATTATACTATGCCTGATGATATAGCCAATTCTATTGGAGATAACAAGAGACAACACAGGAACCATGGTAGAACTCTTTGTACAACAATCTTGTATGTTTATTTCGTTTCATGTGTTTATAGGAATATGTTTTGTTTTGCCTTGCTTTGTTTTGTTTCTCTCTCTAATATAGAAAGGATAGAAATACATGTTAAGACTCATGCATGTGTAGAATCTATAAACAGTTTATGAGAACTGATCATATGACACTTGATGAAATGAACAGATACTCTGAAGAAAAAGAGACACTAAAGTACCCAGTGCTGATCCTGGAGTGTCATAATGTGAAACCCAGAAATAGTATTATTCTTTGTTCAGAGAGATATTAGCCTGCTTGGGTTTATTCAATCTCAGCATAATTGAAGATATAGATAACTGCATGTATGTTCAAGTGTATAGGATTGATAATCATATTTCTAAGTTTTTGTTGGATAGTTGAATAGAACTGGTTGCAATCTCACGGTCTGAATCCCCACTTTATATGCTCCACTTTAGTATCTTGAATAACTACTTGTAGGGAAGTTATTATTATTCATGACCTCACACTTGCTAGGCAGGTGCTTATGCCGCTGAGCTAAATCCCCAGCCCTTGAATAACTATTTGTAAGAAGACAATCTGTAATCATCAACTAGTGATTTCTTACTGTTTATTTTTTTCTTTGAAATTATGTATTATTTCTACACATTTTGTTTTAATCTTTCTTTAAATCAAATTAAAAAAAAAAAAGATGGGGCTGGAGATTTAGCTCAGCGGCATAAGCGCCTGCCTTGCAAGCAGGCAGTCGTGAGTTCGATCCCCGGTACCGATAAAAAGGAAAAAGAAAAAAAAAAAGACACTACAGTACCCAGTGCTGATCACAGATGTGATGTGTCCTGATGTGAAATCCAGCAATTCTATTATTCTCTGTTCAGAATGATTTTAACCTGCTTTAGTTTGTTTAATCTAAACATTAATGAAGATATATGGATAACTGCATGTATGTTTAAGTGTACAAGATTGACAACCATGTTACTAAGTTTTTGTTGGATAGTTGAACAGAACTGTTTGCAGTCTTGCTGTTTGAATTCCCACTTTACATGTTCCATTCTTGTACTCTGAACAACTATTTGTAAAACGACAATATGTAAACATCAACTAGTGATTTCTTACTGTTTTTTTTCTCTGAATGTATGTATTATTTTTACCTATTTTCTGTTTTATTCTTTCTTTAAATAAAATTAAAAAAAAAATAACACTTCTAATGGCGTAATACTTACCTGCCTCTACTGCCAGTACTAGAAGTACTAGGAGGTCTCACAGGTGTGTGAGAATTGGATAAACCTAAAAAACAGTAAGACAAACTGAGTACCAATGTATGTTAGGAATGTTCAGAATTCAAGACTACTACAAGCAAAAATTCATGGACAACAGAGCTAGTTGCCAGGTCAGGGGTGGACATCCTAGATACTTTAGATTCCTTTTCAGAACACACAATCCGGTCAATAAAACTGTCAGATCCAGAGAGAGACCGCATCCCTCCTCCTCAAATCACGTGACAAACTATTCTATTTACAATTCCCATCATTCTTTTTAAAGCCCTGGAATAATTCTTATTAAATCTCAAAAGTTATGTAATTCAAAGCATGTTAAAGTTTTTAGATTGACTAAGGTAAATCGATTATCCTCCACAGTGTCAGTGGCCTCATTCAACCAGTTGAAAACCTGAAGACCTTAAAAAGCTGGAGCTATTCCTACTCCTCTCCTGCAGGAATTTTACAATCTCTGGACTCAAGACTGTAATGTAATTCTCCCCTAAGTCTCCAGTCTATCAATTTGCCTGTAAACTTGGAACTTGAGTACCCACAACAATATAATAACGTGAGCTAATACTTTGAGCTAAAATCAATGTCTCTACGCATGCACACACACATTAACACCCCTCTTGATACCCGTCCCCCCTTTTGCTTCTGTTTTTCTGGAAAACCCTGAATAACAAAAGATATTAAGAAACAAAATAAAGTTTCTGGGTAAACAAATGAGGCAATATCCTGGTTTGCTTTTACCTGATGATCCTGGAGATAGGGCGGAGGGTCCTGGGGAAGGATTCATGGTGCTTGTAGGCTGTGGGGGTAGGTGACTGCCTGAGATGTATCTACTTAGTAGATTATCTAAACTGCTTGAGCCAGCATCTTCCAGCTGAAGAGAAAGAAGGTAAAGATAAATTTGCTTTGAATAAGGCAGAATTTATTAAGTTTATTAGTGTCTGTGCTTCTATTTGCAATTTACTAATAAACTAATAGCTCATCCAATATCAAGTTTTATCTAATTATTGCCTCTTTTTAAACTCCTCTGAGAACTCACACAGTATAGTTTATGTGACTAAATCTATATATTGTACAACAAATATACAACTAATCAAAGAAAAATCTAATGACCTACTAAATCCTGTATTCTATTATGAAAATAATTCTGATACTGATAGAGTCAAAATTGCTGCAGGTATCTTTGGTCCCTAAATACCTTTTCTTTACTTCAGTGTCCAGAGTTCTGCCACAATCAGTCATTCTAACAAACTATCAATTTGCATTCATACCTGCCCCTTTCAATCTCCTCTCCAGCTAGAGGTCAGGTAATTTCTTTTTTCCAGATCTGAGAAAGGAACCCAGGATGCTGCACATGGTAAACTAGTGCCCTACCTCTGAGCCACATCCTCAGCCCCCAGATTACTTATGGAAATGTATTTCTACTTGAAGACCAAACTGAACATGTGCATTTACTTCTTGCTCTTCTTTCCTCCTGAAGTGCAATGATTCTCACAGCAGTGAAACACAAACAGTGACATCCCAGTGCAGACTTTGGAGGAAACTGTGACACTAAATTGAGGTAGAATTGAACTGAAAGGAAGAGGATCATAATGCAGTAACTCACAATATAGGAAGATCCTCTTAATGTGCATAAGACAATTTCCCCAATGCTCTTTAAAAAATGCCAGACACCTGAAGGGTTAAAGGTGAGAGGAGGCTATGGGATATTTGTAGGGACAACTAAAGGACAGCATCAGTTATGTGTCTATCCTGTGGTCACAGCTATTAGCTAAAGACTTTTTGTAAACTGTAACTACAGGACAGTGATAGTAATCCTTTTAGAGCTTTCAATGACACAAGCAGCCCACTGTAGCACATATGCTATAGATTCAGGCACATTCTCATAGGAGAATCCCTACCTGCAACTTAGATCAACTGGACCACTGGATGAGGTAGGTGTGTGTGTGTGTGTGTGTGTGTGTGTGTGTGTGTGTGTAAAAACCAAATGATGGGGAATGATTCAAAACAAATGTAAAATCGCATTTTACCTGCCCTTTTAGCTATTCACCTACAACTTATATTCCTAACTGGATGGATAACATTAAGACTTGAGTGAACAGGGCAGGCAGAGGCCAACAGAGAGTATGCACTCTCTGATGCCATTACAGCCCCCAATACAGAAATGCTAACAAAAGAATTCAAGTGTAGTTTTCATTACCTATGGGGTTCACTATAAAGTCAAAATTTTTGTCTTAACTAGAAAAAATATAAATTCATTCCCTTATGAAACCATTATATTTTTAGTATCCTCAATAACTGCATGGAATGTGTCATATAAGCAAAAATAGACAATTTGAACAAAGACATTTCACAGAAGATAATTAGAGAATAAAAATAATCAAGGAATGTAAATAACCAAATACACTAAAGAGAAAAATCAAATCAACATCATTTTATCTAGCAGATAAAACATGGAAGAAAACAATGATTAACAACTTAAGCCAGAGTTGAGAAAACAGCAGAAATAAGCACTTTCATGTATATAAACTAGCACTATATACACTTTTGTTTTGTTTTGTTTTATTTATTGAGACAGAGTCTTGCTATGTAGTTCAGGCTGACCTCAAACTCTCAGGGATCCCCCGCCTCAACTTTTTGAGAGCCAGAATTACACACGTGAACCCTCAATAATATTTTAAAGAGAAAATTGTCAGGGTCAACATAAATTTAAATTGTGAATGCTTTTGATCTGATCCACTTCTGCCACCCTTAGAGAAATATTTGTATGTGTTTAATAAAACATGCTTACTGCGGCTCAATGTGACTTTTTTTTTAAACTTTTTTTTTTTTAAATTGGTACCGGAGATCGAACTCATGACCATGCGCTTGCAAGGTGCCAGGCGCTCATGCCGCTGAGCTAAATCCTCAGCCCTCAATGTGACTTTTAAAAAACTGCATTGAAATATAAAAAACAAACAATAAGATAAAATATATTCAAAGTGTACAATCTGATGATTTCATATACAACCAGGAAACCAAAATCAAGTAAACAAATTAGTCCCTCCCTCAACCTCAAATACTGATCTTTTGGGCATTTTAATTTGTTTTTTTTCCTTGCAGTTTTATATAAATGAAATCCTATGATAAACTTTTTTTTTCTTTTTTATCGGTACCGGGGATTGAACTCACGACCACACACTTGCAAAGTAGGTGCTTATGCCGCTGAGCCAATGATAAACCCAGCCCCAATGATAAACTTTTAAATCCATTATTTCCCCTTGGTATAATTGTTTTGATGTTAGTTTATCCTGCTGGTTGTATCAAGTTCATTCCTTTTTATTAATATTCAATGTATATTAAATGTATTTATCCATTTATCTGTAAGAGGACACTCAGGTTGTTTCCAGTTTTGCCTTATTACAAATAAAGCTATTATACAAATCTGTACAAATCTCTGTGCACACATTTATTTCCTTTACTTTTGGCAAATCTATAGAAGTAGAAATTATGGTAAGTATATATTTAACTTTTTAAGAAGCTGCTAAATTGTTTCCCTATGTGGTATACAATTTTACATTCCACCAAGGTTTATGAGGTATATATAAAATAAATAAAATCAAGTAAACAAATCAAATAAACAACTCTCTCACCAACAAATGTGCAGTCTTTTTAATTTAATCATCTTAACAGCTCGGTCATATTGCATCTCACTGGTTTTAACTTGAATTTCCCTAATGGTTAAACCATTAACCAGGGTATTACTTGCATCTTTTCATGCATGTATTTTTGTTTCTCACTAGTGAAGATGTAAGACATAAAGCCAAGGTTCACCAACAGAAAGAAAACTATGTCAAACTATGTCCAGCAAAATGGAACACTAGAGATTTAAAAGTGAGAACACTACAAATCATTGACATTTGTGTACTTGATTAAAGACGGTAACTGCCCCCAATTGAGGAAGACCATTCTTTGGTCAAGGGTATACAAATAGGTGTGTTTTCCTGTTGAACCTTCAAACAAGCTCTCAAAGAAACGACATGGAAAAAAAAAAAGTCCAAAAATAAAGACATAAAACTTTCAAGATAGTATTAACCAAGCGTATCTGTATGGTATAATCTCATTTTCTGTTAGGTGGAGACCTCCCACTGAAAGTGGTGAACTACTACTACTCAGCCTGCTCTACTTTTTTATTTTGAGACAGGGTCTCACTATAATAAGGACTCATTGTAAGTTGAGGATTCTCTGGATCTTGCAATCTTCTTTTCTTAGCTGCCTGAATGGGAGGAATAATAAGCATGCACCTATATTTCCTAGCTTCTGTTACATTTCATTTATATTAGTATGTTTGTGAGGAACGATCTATCTGAGATACATCAATTGGGAAAAGTGCTGGGATTTAGTTGTGTGAAAGAAAAATGGAGTATAAATTTTCATTTTTCATCGACTGATTGCAGTGCTGGGGATTGAATCCAGGATCTTTAAGCTGTTGTCCCCTCATGCCTTTGAGACAGGGTCTCCCTCAGTTGTCCATGCTGGGTTCCAACTTATGAGCCTCTTGCTTTACTCTTCCAGGCTGCTGAGATTACACACTACAACATCCAGCTGTGAGATCTTATGCCTAAATTTTAGCTTTACTGTCATTTCATGACCACTGTTATGATCCAGTGTTGACCACGTCATTGTTTTGAGGCTTATGACTGTTTCTCTTACCACTTTAAAAATTTGTATTGCCTATTAATGTCATCCCAACCACTGTATATTGACTATGTAACTCATGTTTGAGATGTTTGTATAAACAGTTATGTAAAAGGATAGCATGGTGAATATAATTATGTACAGCATATAATACAATGATAACTAGGTTACTAGTTTATGTATTTATTATACTTTTTATTGTTATATTATTATATTATTGTTATCCTTCTATTTCTTTAAAAAAAAAAAGGAAAAAATCCCAGTACTCTGGAGGCTGAGGCAAGAGGACTGCCATGAGTTCAAGACCGTCTGAATTGCATAATAAAGCCCTGTCTCAAAAAGACAAAAAATGAAACAAACAGTTTACTGCCTGTGTTACACTGGCAGCAACCCATAAATCTCATGTTTTTTGCTGAAGAGATCACTCTGAATAGTTGACTGATACTAGCTAGGTTTGTGCAAGTAAACTAAGATTATTACATAATGATCAGTAACAAGGCATTTCTAAGAATGCAGCTTCATCAAGTGGTACCATGAATGAGTAGAACACTCAAATAACCTACCCTTAAGTTTTATTCACCAAGATTTATCTTCAGTTATGCTTTGTTAGTTGATTTGTTTGAAACAGGTCTCACTGTGTAGCCTAGGCTAGTCTCCAACTCATAGCAATTTTCCTGCCTTGGCCTCTTGAGTGCTGAGACTACAAGTGTGTGCCACCGCTAGCTCAACCAGTTACACCTTCTTGAGGGCAGTATCATTCTCAGAACAATAAACTTCACAGCATTATAGGTAAGTGATGATAACAAAGTATATATTCTAGCATTAAAAAGTTAATGCAAACATTCTACAACATGTAAATCTGTACGCAATTTATCACACAGTTTTCTCAGAAAAGAAATCTGATAAATTATTGAGTATGCCAAATAAGGGTGACAGTTTTTCAAAAAATGTAAGATACATCATTAGAACACTAAATTTGTTAATTATAATCTTAATGTGTATAATCTAACATTCCTTTAACAGTATTTAGGTTTACCATGTATCTCCTGAGCACTGCAAATATGAATTATTACTATGCTGGAGACAAATAGTTGTGTAAAATTAAAAATAATACAGGTTGTGAGAATTTTATTTAAGTCAAGTTCTATTCCTTACAACAAAATCATTGTAATGGTCAGTACTACTGATACCAGTCAACAAATATCTGAAGATGCCTTGCATTAATGTCATTTGATTTGCATAGTAAATGCTACTTAGCTCTCTGTATAACCACCTTTAGATTTCCTTTTACTGTACTATGGAACTTATAAAAAGACAAGGTGAAGAGTAGATGACTTTGAGAGGTAAGAGGTTTCTCTACTTTTGGTTCACATGGTTAACTACTTCTTACCATATTTGTGCTTTTAGGTTAGCCACCTCTACTTTTAAAAGTAGATGACAGTAACAACTACTGGTGAGAATACAGAGAAACTAAAACCTTCATAAAACTTGTTAGTGAGAATGTAAAATGGTACAGTCACTGTGGAAGAGTTTGGCATTTCTTCAAAACAGCCAGGTGTGGTGGCACATGTCTGTGATCCTAGCACTCCGTAGAGGGTCAGGCAGAAGGAACACTGTGAGTTCAAGGCCAGCCTGGACTACATAGTAAGACCTTGTCTCAAAAACCAAACCAAACCAAACCACACCAATAAGGCTAAACATATAATGAAAACTGTATGTATGAAGATGAAAGCTCTTAGCAGCATTATTTTTTGGATTTTGTTTGTTTTTTCAAATAAGGTCTTGCTACATAGCCCAGGCTGGTCTTGAACTCGGAGTGATCTTCCTGCCTCAGCTTCCTGCGTGCTGGAATTACAAGCATGCACTACCATGCCCAACTAGCAGCACTAGTTTTAACAGTCAAAATGTAGAACCCAAACATCCAACAACTGATGAATGAACAAAATGTGGTGTATTTGTAAAAGGGAGTATTATTCTAACATAAAAAAAGGATTGAATTATTGACATCTGCTACACCATAGACTTGAAAAACATTATGCGAAGTCAAAGAAGCCAGATAGAAAGTCACATATATGATTCCATCCATGCAAAATACCTGGCTCTAAGAGCTGTCTTTTTATCCTCAATGCCCTAGGACTTCAGCATACAGTAAGGGCCACTAAAGACTCAATACCATACTTTTCCAGATCCACAATCCGAAACTATCTCCCTCCTTTTGGTATGGATGATGGAAACAAATCAAACAGAATCAAGAGTCTGGTCTCTAAAATCCAATTTTTTTCATTAGTGTGTCACTCTGGGAGGATCTCTACTTACTCACATCATAAAATTGGCTATTATGTATCATATCAAGAGATTTCAAGCTTAAACGAATATACTTCCTATGAAAGCACTTTGTAAATTATAAGCTTTTAACTTAGAATGTGACTTTTTCCATTAGATAAAGTCCAGCCCTCTCAGCACCAATAACTACTATCCTTCCCTTAGCCAAAAAAGATTTCTCCTAATATCAGGGAAACAGCTTGATTAAGAAAATTTCACACGTCACTGACTTCCAATTCTTACATTCTTACACAAACTCATTAAATATACAAAAATACTTAACTACAGCCACAGAAAGGGTGTTGAGGGTCTCACTATCTTAATAGTTTCAGGGCTCCTCGCTCCATGGTGACCAGTGACTCACATGAAACTCATATGATGCATGAAGTAATTCAGTTTATCCTCAAACATTATTATTCACAGATTTAAAAAGAAAGTCTTTAATTAAACTGGAAATTTCTTCAGAAAGCACTGAAGATAACTGTTTGCTGTGAAATGTCATAGCTAAAAGTCTTAGAGGCTCTTCATGCTTCATCTATTCCTCTTAACTATATTTCTCTATTTATTTATTTAGTCTTTTTGAGATAGGGTCTTGCTATGCAGTTCAGAGTGGCCTTGGGCTCACTTTGTAGCCCAGGCTGGTCTTGAACTTGCAACGATCTTCCTACCTCAGTCTTCCTGAGTGCTGGGATTACAGAAGTGTGTCACCACACCCTGTTCATTTCTTTTAGTATATGCCCCAAAATACTTGTTACAGCTTGTGTCCCCCCTTTACCCCTAATGTGGCCAGAGGTAGCTGAACCTTCTGTATGTGATATTCTGGAATTAAGGCTGTGTGATTACTAAATTAGTCCACTGACTGGTCTGGTACAGTTCTGACAGACTATAAGGGACAGAAAATGGGCAACTGTTGTCACATGCTGCATGCTGCCTTCTGCCTGCCATGAATTACTTCTTCCTTGTGATACCCCTCTGCCATGGAGCCAGCTACCTATGGACTGAAAAGTTTACAAGTTGTGAATCAAAATAAATCTTTCTTCTTTTAACTTTGGCTGTCAGGTATTTTGTTTCAGCACAAGGAAAGTAACTAAGATAGTAACAGACCTTTATACTTTGCAACCCTATCCTTTCTCAGTCCAATGATTTGCATGAGGAGCTGAATACCACTCGTTAAGGATCTAAAGGAAGAATGACAAAAAATTCACCCTATGGGTATTCTTTCTAGCTCCAAACTTACACCAAAAAATATGCCTGTTACCAGGTGGTAGAAAAATCAACAAAACAAGGGGCTGGGGATTTAGCTCAGCGGCATAAACGCCTGCCTTGCAAGCAGGCAGTCGTGAGTTCGATCCCCGGTACCGATAAAAAGGAAAAAAAGACAAAAAAAAACAAAAACAAAAAAAAAGAAAAATCAACAAAACTGACAAACCATCATTGTACCTCTATTTAGACAGTCTCATAATATTGAACACTCTATTTCTTATAACTTTAAAATTTTAAAAATCTTAGTTCTAGCCCAAGAACCTTTTGAAATTCTAATATCTATACTCTTCATAAATTTCAGAGAAATGTTGGCCTGAATTTTAAAAATCATAAAATCTGAAATGTATGCTCTAACTTTGTAATTAACACATGGCTTTAAATAACTCATTTAACTTAAAGACAAACCTGTATGGGAGGAATATCTGGCAAGGATGGAAGGTTTTCCGGGTTAGTAACTGAAGGGATGAGTTCTATTGCTGTAACAGATGGGCTGGTGGGGCCTCGGTTTGCATTTGCCATAGTTGCTGTAGTAGGGCTTGTTGGGTTGATTGTGGTATTGTGTACTGATACAACAGGAAAAGGTCCAGCATGCCCTGGGTTTGAGTGCTGTTAAGAAAGAATACATTATTGTTAGTTGATCTGCCAGGGTACCTGACAGTTGTACCTGTACAACAATATTATTTTACGAAGGTTGTATGTGAGCCTGTGAGAGGGAAAAAAAAGTGGGCTCTCTCAACTGTGTACAACAGAATAACTAAAACTTAGCCATTCATTTTTCTATTCACTTTTGTATAGTATCTATGGAAAAACAGGCTTGTCAATAATTTTCAACCTATCACTCTGGTCATATAACCTTATTTTAGAATCAAGGTTATTGATCTAGAGGCCTTAAAGTTTTCGAAAATCAGAATAAGAAAGCTACTGTTCTGTCTACATACCTCTTGAACCTTTAGTTGTTTTTCTAATGAAAACAGAAAAGTTAAAAAGGACAAGAATGTAATGTAGCTTGATATGGTAGGAAAAAACAATGAATTTATAGAAAGCAAATACAACATCAATTCTCACTTTTAATATTGTGTTACCTCAGGCAAATCACAAATTTATGTAATTTACAAATGCTGACGAGTGGTCTCTCACCTGTTTCAATGTGAGAGTTGTAATGCGCATTATTAAGGTCATATATAAGTATCTTTGGGAAATAAATTACTGTATACATGTAAATAAATTATTTAAAATAACTAAAAACTAAAAATGCTAATAACATTCAGTGATTTCTCTAGGGGCAGAATATTTTGTTTTTTTTTTCTATTGGTAGCGGGTATCGAACTCACAATTGCCTGCTTGCAAGGCAGGTGCTTATGTCGCTGAGCTGAATCCCCAACCCCGGGCAGAATATTTTCTAAGAAAAATATTCTAAGACAGTTGTTTAGTCTGATTGTATGCCTTCTACAATCTTATTTAAAATAGTGTGTCTGGTCCCTTATAATATTTTACGGTTTTGTTTAATACAAGGGCATCTGAATAATTTTAAGGAAATTAATGTCTAGATCCTCAACTTACATATATATTCTACATCTGAAAACAAAATTTGCTGAAGAATATGGCACCACTTCTCTGACAACTGTCCTTCTTCTATTTCACAGAAGAAAAGCATACCTCTGAACCATTCCTAAGCTTATTCTAGATAAGGTGTTCCAGGATAGGGAAAGTAGAGATAACCAAAGGTCTAAGTGGAAATAATACTGTTTGAGTGTTGAAAAATGACTGATTCGGGGCTGGGGATTTAGCTCAGCGGCATGAGCGCATGCTTTGTAAGCAAGGCAGTCGTGAGTTCGATCCCTGGTACCGATAAAAATGAAAAAGACAAAAAAAAAAAAAAAAAAAAAAAAAAGAAAAATGACTGATTCTGAAACCTAGAAAATAAATCTTCAAGTGAGTTTTAATACTTAATGATTTTTTTAAAAAGACTTCATGAACCTATCACTCATAAAAAAATTTTAAAAATAGCTTACAATTTAGAAAATCTTCAAAAAACTGGGAATACTTCTGATAAAATTCTTTTAATTCCCAAATTCACATTTTTCTGAACAAGTTGTCTGAACACAACATGAAACAAAACTAGCAATAAAAATCAGAGTTGGTTTCTTACTCTAATAGTAAATAACAGAATACAAATATATATAACTGCAGAGAGGGGTAAAAAACTTCATCTCCAGAAATGCAAAGCCAAATTAATTTTGTTTTCTAATATTCTTAAAATTATAAGCATGTATTTTGTTTTAGAATGTGTACAAAAAATGTAAAAGCTTAATGGTCTCACTGTTATTAGAAATTTAACAAAGAAGTTCCACTGAAATACATTTGCAAAGAGTTACAAGATTTATTTATGTCTATCAAGCTTAAATATATGATAGATAAAATTCTGCAGAGGAAATAAAAGTGAAATTCTAGACTAAAGAGAATAAATGTATTAAATGTTAACCTTCAAAAGCACTTGCTAAATCAACAAGTGCTGGCAGGGCTATGGGGGAAAAGGAACTTTCTCCACTGTTGGTGGGAATGCAGACTGGTGCAACCACTGTGGAAATCAGTGTGGAGGTTCCTCAAAAAAGCAGGTTCCACTTGACCTAGCTGTTCTTCTCCTTGGTATCTTCCCAAAAGAATTAAAAGCATCATACCACATTGATATAAACATATACATGTTTATAGCTGCACAGTTTGTAATAGGTAAACTTTGGAACAACCCAAATGTGTATCAACCAATAAGGGGCTAAAGAACTTTTTTTAAAAAACACAAGAGTATTATTCTGCCATAAAGGATAACCCTGAGACATTTCTAGCTAAGTGGATATACCTTGAACACATACTTTTGTGATTGAACCCAGAACCTGCATGGAAAGTAAGAATCTACCATTGAGCCACATCCCCAGGCCTGAGGACACACTCTTAAGTAAAATAAACTGGACACACATGTGAATACCACATTGTTTCTCTGGTGTGAGAAACCAAAAATGTAAATAAGGACCAAATGTATAAGAGATATTGTGAAACAGGAAGAGAATATTCAAATAGGAAGGAGAACTAGGAATGGACAAAGGGAAAGCAAGGGAGGGGAAAAAGGAAGGAAGAAAAAAGAAAAAAAGAATGAGAAAATAAGGGAAAAAATAGAAATAAAGCTTTTGTAAATAAGCAGGAGAAGAAGGGTCAAAGAGAAGGCAGGAGAATAGGAAAAAAAGCCAATCAATTCATGTCAAGTTCAGGTACAAATTCTCTGATGAATGTGATCATTATGAGTACCTAAAATGTACGAATAAACACAATTAATTGAAGAAAAAAGCTTGCTGTAGTATTTGGGATTCTAGTAGATGCAATTAAACAATGCTGTAAAGGTTTTATGTAGTAATGTCAGTATTTATAATATGCTAGAAAATAAGTTTTTGCAATTACTTATGAACTTCCAATGGAAACTTTAAATAACCTTCAAATGTGAGAGAATGAATATTTTCAAAAGTTTTTCTGGAGGTATTTGAACCAAAAAGATAAAAATTGCTGCTCTAAGATAGGTTTTTCTCAACTTTTAGCATGCAGGATGATCCGACAGGTTTACTCTCTTCTTGAAAATTATGTTTCAAAGAGTTATGGCTCAGAAACTATTTTGATAAGGCTGCTCACTCCACCTCAAGCTGACCAGTGATTCTGATGGTCATTAAAATATGTTTTGAGAATGGCTACTCTATAAGTTAAAAAATGGAACTCTGAACTCTTATCATTTTGGTAACTGGAAATCCTATGGAAAAGTTGCCTCACACTTCCTATACAAATTAGCCTTCTATTCAAAAAAGATTTATAAATTTGTACCTGAATATACTTCAAGTTTGAGAAGAATGCTGGGGGATCATGCACACTACGCATATTCGACCACTGAGTCACACTCCAGACCTACATTTATTTTTGAAACTAATCATATCTATACTCTAAACAGAGTAACACTTGAGAAAAAAAAAATTATATACAGCAAGCTCTCCTACTTTCAAAATTCTTTTTATGTTAGGATCAAAGTCACATTAAAAGAGCACAGACTATCAGGAAATTAAAGTTCTAATCTTGATTGTATCATCTCTTATGAGTATAGGTACTTCAAAAGTTTTTTATATTGTTTCTCACTTCTATAAGTGAATGAGTTGGATTACATCAAGGATTCTTAACCCATGGTATGTGACAGATTTAAAAGGATGCAAAAAATTCGTAAAATTGAATACAAAATTTAATGTACAGTGTATATATGTATTTTCCTGGGACAAGAGGATACATAACAGTAATCAAATTTATAAACATATCAATGACCTGCCCCCATCAACTGAATAAGAAAAACAATGTCTTTTAGTTTTAAAATTGTATGATTCTTACAAATGTAACTCTAGGCATACTTGTCTTTGGAGATGTGGCTGCATCATGGAATACTGAGGCCCGCTGTGCCGGGGTATCCCTGGGATTCTGGCAGCATTCTGTGCCAGTCTCATTTGATGGGCTTGAAAAGCTCCACAGTTCATATTGCCTCTTTGCATTGTTTGCACACTGATCAATCTTGGAGGCTACAAAAAGTAAAAATTAATAACCTTTACAAACTTATCTCTCAAATATACATGTTACAGTAAAAATAATCCAGTCAGAATATAAAGTAAAAGGTATAAGTCATTGTCTTCATCTCTAGCCAATCCTCAAAGGACTGGTAATTATTAGATTGTGTATCACTCTGAATTTCCCATTTTCCTCTCTTGGTATGCATGTCAACATTAATTTACCTCAACTTGGAGTAATGGTTTTGACCAGAAGGGGCAGAGAGCAGAAGAGCCACATGGGTGAGAATGACCTGAACAAATGTCTAAAGAACAGATCAGATCTTAGGCAGAAATGACCCGTTTCTCTGGCCCACAATGATCTTGTGGAGTGATGAGAACACATCAGTAATTTCACAGAAGTACTGAATTAATTTGTTTCCCAAGGTAAGTTACTTACTTATACCTTTTCTTTTTACACTTTAATCACATTCTTATGACAATCTGTGCAAAAGAACTCACCTTTGAACTCTATTCCTGCTAGCAAACCTGAATGTGTAACTCATCTATACGGGAGAAAGAGAAGTCTTGAAATCTGCATAACTTAAATCAATAATATAATACTGACACAATACTGACCTGTTGCTGTAACATCTGAGGGGCTGTTTGTCTAGGGTGCTGCTGTGTTGTTGTTGTTGGTGGTGGTGCAGGAGCTGGTGGTTGCTGCATTCTCATCTGTTGCAACTGCTGATGTTTCTGTGCATATACTTGCTGTTGCATATGCTGAAGTCGAAGCTGTGCTAAATTAATCTGTCCAGGAGTTTTACTAATGTGGTTTGTCCCTGGAGGAACTTGTCCAACTACAACATTAGGAGTATAACCAGGAGCTGGTTTACTCTCTATTACTAGATTACCTGGAGATTTAAAATGAGAAAGATTTGCATAAAATCAACTACACTGTTATCCCACAAATTAATCTTCCAACAACTATCAGCACATCAAAGTTTTCCATAGTACAGCAGGGGTAGAAGCTAAATTTAAAGATGATGAGGATTAGAAACCTAATATATTCCAAAGCCAAATTAAAAATGACTTTCGATTAGCTGTCTTTATCCTATATTTCTACAAGTGTGAAGAAAATTAAAGATCTGAAAAAGATATTATTAGCTAGTCAATCTAAATCAATTCTCCCATATTAAGACTCAAAGATAATCAGATTACTAATTCTGATTCCATCTGGTTTTTTTTTTTTTTTTTTTGGTCTTTTTTGTTTTTATCGGTACCAGGGATCGAACTCACGACTGCCTGCTTGCAAGGCAGGTGCTTATGCCGCTGAGCTAAATCCCCAGCCCCTTCCATCTGGTTTTCAACTGCCAAAACATAAAGGACAGAGAACTATTCTGCTACAAATAGAAATACTAAATGGTTTAAACCATTCATGTCTTCAAAAGTGATCATTTTTTCCCATGAGTCACAGAGGGTACATTTTAGGAAGGTGTGATTTAAGGCAGAGGTTGGAAGGCCATGTTAAAGTTCCTCAGTCTTTGATTTTATTTTTGTAACTCTTTGAAAATGTAAAAATCATTCTTGGCTTCTATGTCACTTAAGAGATAGGATTTTTTTTAACCTAAAGATTACTTTTTCTTTTTTAAAGGCCGTAAGTACTTTCACAATTCCCAAAGTTAAGCACTTTGCTATTGTGAAAGCGTATCTACTCAATCTGTAGACAGCTTTACTTGTCAGGAAATTTTTTTGCTATTTTAAAGAATCAAGGTCTAGCTATGTTGCCCAGGATGGCCTTGAATTCCTAGGTTCAAGTAATCCTCTTGGCTTAGCCTCTCAAGTAGACAGGGCTATAGGCATGGTCACCATACCTGGCCTTTCTTTTTTTTTTTTTTTTTTTCCTTAAAGATCCACAATGAGGAATAACAAAAGCAAAGTCCATTTTTCTTCCATGTGAAAAATTTTGCTTTTTATCTTTTAAGGATTCCTCAGGACATGACTACTGGACACATTAGTTTTCTGAAAGACCTCTACTAGTGTACCATTTGGCATTACTAAACTACTAAGCACCTAAGAAAATCTCCTAGAGAATGAAGAAGCATTTGCTAAGTGTTTGTATTTTTCTTTAGGGGGATTTGTTTTGGTATTTTTTAGACAGAGTATTACTGCGAAGACCAGACCAACCTCAAACTCTCAATCTTCCCTCAGGCTCTCAAGTGTTGGAATGAACATCTATGTCACTTGCTACAAATTCTATGCATATATGAAAGTCAATATTAATTTGAAAAAGTATATAAGGAAAAACTAGAAATGATACAAATTATAAAACACTACAGAGGGGCTGAGGATAGTTCAATGGTAAACTGTAAGGCCCTAGGTTCCATCCCCAGCACAAAAACAACACAGTATTGTAAATTATAACAAAAACATTAACTAGAGCAAGTTTTGAATGAATAACTTATCTTCCAAGTCATTCATATTTTATTTCGTTTCGTTTCATTTTTGCAATACTACCAGGGATTGAACCCAGGGATATACTAATACTGAACTATATTTCAACCCAATTTCATTTTGAGACAGTCATCCTAAATTATCCAGGCAGGACTTCAACTTGCAATCCTTCCAGCTAGCCTCTTTCAGTGGTGGCATTTCAAGAATGTGTTACCACATCTGGCTATTTACATTTTAAAGTTAAAAACTTTAGACATGCATGGTGGCACAGACTTGTAATTCCAGCATTCTAGAGGCTAAGGCAAGTGGACTGCCTAGACATCAAGGCCAGCTTAAGCTACATAGTGAATTCAGGCCAGTATGAAATACAAACCTGAAAGCCTATATAGTGAAATTCTATCTCAAAAAACAAAAACAAACCAAAACAATTTTAAAACTATTTAAAATTTGATTTACATATTTTCTTTTCTCAGGTCAATGTTCTATTGTAATACAATTTCTCACCTAAATTGACTACATTCTTTGCCCAGAATGTGGGATCACAATGGAAACGTATTGCTCCATTAGCAGCAGGGACAGGATCACACCGAGCTTTCAAAATATGACGCAATTGAAAGGTAATCTTAAAGGAGGAAAAAAAAATTCACATTAGTCTTAAAGCTAAACACCAATTGGGAAAGCATACAAAATACAGTATTTTAAAAAGCTAAAATACTCCCTCAGTGTCAAGTATCAGAAGAAACAGTACCAAAGTATAAATCAGCAATCAAATAAAATGCATTGTTGAAATTGTTATTTCCGATAGTAAACTGCATTAAGATCCTAGGCGCCTTCAAAAAAGCACACATTACTTACATGATTCCCTTCACATAAAGTTCTAGAAAATGAGAGATTAGATTAATGGTTGTCTAGGGTCAAGGGTATAATGAAATAGGGAAACTTTGAGGCTGACACAAATTTCTTGTATTTTAAAAGGGGGCAGTAATAATTGTCAAATGTCAATATACCTTAATAAAGTTGATTAGAGAAACATAAAGGTACATGTCTCACCAGCCGTTTGCTGTACAGTAGTGCGGTGCTGCTGCCACTTGCAATGGCCCAGTTTGTAAAGTTCATAACATGTTTCACCTGCCGGGAGAGCCCTGTGATGTCATTCTGCTGCTGTAGTAGCTTCATCTGTCTTTCTTTTGTAACATTCTGAAATAGAAGAAGAGCTTCACTCAATACTGTATGAAAAAATAATATATACTAGTTAATAATTATTTAACGAGCCTATGACCAATCAGGAAAAATTACTAATCAAAGTAACAACTAAGACTTAGTTCTGTAAGTTAAAATATTCCACATACAGAAATTAACATTAGATGTTATCTTTTTTCTTTCAGCATATGAATGTCTGCTAAAAACAGTAGCTTCCTATTTGATTAATCTAAAGTGGCATGATGAGCTAACTTTAGTAGTAATTTTATATAATCTTAACTCACTATACTTCCTAGGCCAATGAAAAATATTGTATAACCAGTGCCATCTACTGGTGCGGCCTGAGGCTGAGGTTAATATTTTTCTTCAATACCTAATACAAAATAAAAAAAGAGAAACTCCAATGCTCTAATAGTAAAACAAGGATAGCTTTTAAATAACAAAGTTTAAAAGAAAAAGGAGTGAAGACTGATCAAACCAGAAAAAAAGAACTTCAAAAAAATGCTGCAAAGTAAAAATAAGGTGCTTTAATAGGGACTACCAGAAGGGATGGGTAATGTTCTACATATTCTGACATTCAGCAAGCTGAACAACCTACCTACTTTGTTAACCACTGTTTTCTCAAAGGCTTCTCCATCTAGTTTATTAGACAGTACATTTCCCAAGAAAACAAGTTTTTCATTTTGTAAACATAAATCAACGCGTAGTGATACTCAACTGATAGCATTTACAACTTCACTAGAGATCATTCCTTTTGCAAAGCTTAGGATAACGAAGTTTAGGAATTATACTATTAAAAAAAAATCTGTTTAAAAAATTTTTATAACGTTAGGGGTACATGACATATAGTATTTGTCATTAAGTAGTTACCTACACTTTAGCCGTAAGAGAAAACTTTTAATTCTGAAGCTCTTGCAATGATTTTACTAATTTTATTTTAGATATATAACTAAGATGTATTTACAGGAGGTTAGAATGTATCAAAAACAGATACTGCTAAGTGCTCTCCATTTACATGGTACTTTTTTTGGGGAAAAAAATCCTGTAAGATTAAAAGCAACTTACTAGACGTGTAACAGGAGACTCCTAACTTTAATGCTTGTGTAGAATATTTTAAAATCTCACAATTATGTCTAATACAAAGATAAGATGTATTTAAAAGATAGAAATTCAGAGGTAACTTACATAATCTCACTTGCATGTTAACTACATGCCTAATATTTTTAAAGCAGTCTAGCATTTGGAAGCTATATACTGTAGTCAATTACACAGTTTAAATTATTACTATTCAGTGATGTAGAAAACATGTAATTTTTAAGATATTTCACATATAAAACTTGCTGAGAAAAATAAGCTGTGTGTAGTAAAGGTGAGCCTAATTAAAAATTAATCTGAATTTCAAACAGGCTAAATCCTTACCTAAAAATTTACAACTATGTATTAATCCCAAAATATGCAACACAAATATCTAACATAAAATCATCAATAAGTTTAACATTTATAAATTTCAAAATGAGCAGCATTTTTTGCATAATTATGAAACTATTTTTAAAATAAGGTGAAGACACAAATGGCTTAAAGCAGAAGCCCTTTATATCTTTATCATGGTAAGAAATGTGGTGGGCCTCCTTTGTTTGCACCACATTTTAGTAATAATTTTTTTTTATTCCTAAAAGTCATCATTATTTCCTAATGAATACAGTTCAAAGTAACTAACTAGAAAAAAGGTCTCTTTTCCAATAGGAAATGGAAAAAACAATCTATTTTTTAAATTTTACTTTACTTCCATATTCCCCAACCCATTTAAAAGAGCTTTCAATAAACATTAAAACAGCTGAAGAGCAAGAGAAGCAGTTTTTGTTTTATTTTGGCTTTGAACCATACCTCTAGCTGCTGTAAGAGAGATTTTCCTTTCTTATTAATTTCATTGATAAGGGTGAAAATGGCCACTTTAATTTCCTGTTCTACTCGTTTGTTAGTCTCATTTACTTCTTTTATCCTGAATAAGAGAAATGCATCATTAGGTTATCAACTTATCCTTTGTCTCTGAGTCATCAATTTTATAGAAATTCATCCAAGTGGGCATTTAACCAAGTATTTAAGTTAAAACTTTGTCAAAGTGTACAACTTGTGTGTTGGCAGACCAAACCACTTAATTTGGTCCCAGTAAGTTATTTATAGAGACAAACAACGAATATTTAGTAGTTTTAAATTAAGCTCATAAAGGCCAGTCGCTTAGGTTGGTGAACAATCTCAAGTCATTATAACAATGAATGTAACTTACAAACATCTAACATCAATGATTGCTGGTTAGAATCAATTCTGGTATACCAGTTCTGTTTAATCTTAATGCTTTCCACCAACAATGTCCCAACCAATAATTACCTTTTCAGAAGGCAGAAACTAAATTTAGAAGCATTCATTTTCACTTAACCACTTGAAATATGGTTTGTGATATACTTCCATAACTTCTCAAAATGATTCCTACTGTATATGCTAAACGGTGTTAAGACATTAGGGGGAAGGTGTAGTTTACTGAGGCGTAAGCCCACGGTTCTCATGTGTTAAGCACATGCTCTACCACTGAGCTACATCCCAAGTCTCTACCCAGTTTTTAAAATAGCTGTTATATATTTTAGATATAAATATAAGCATCCATTGTGGTTAGTGAAAGTTTTGGTTGCACATATGAAGTGGCTGACACCTTGACTCTTATAAAAGGGGACATAGGGAATCCTACTAACAGAAATACATAAAATGCCAACAATCAATCATAAAAGTTAACCTTTATTTTTTGTATAAACTGCTTTTCATTTGCAAAATTCAGATTTGGGCAATTTTAATTTACTCCAAGCAACAGTAATACAGATTTTCCTCCTTTGTGTATCACTGTTTGGATCATTATTTTATTTTATTTTTATGTTTTGATCTTTTGGAGACAGGGTATTGCTGTACAGTTCAGGTTGGCTTTGGGCTCCCTTCTGTAGCCCAAGATAGTTTTGAATTTGCAACAATCCTCATTCCTCAGCCTCCTGAGTGCTGGGATTACAGGCACGAGCCCCCATACCTAGCTTGGACCGTTATTTATTTTGTTTGTTTTTCTCAGTACTGGGAATCGAACTCATAACCTTGTGCCTGCCAGGCGGGTGCTTATGCTGCTGAGCTAAATTCCTGGCCCTGCACCGTTATTTTAATTTCTTCCTGTCTTTTTTTTTTCAGGGGAGAAAAGGGGTATTATGATACTGGGGGCTAAATCTATAACCAACACACTGAATTATATCCCCAGCTTTTTAAAACTCTAAGTTCTTACTAGGTTCCTTGAACTTGCAGTCCTCCTTCCTCAGACTCTTAGAATTCTAAATTTAAAAGCATGTATCACCAAGCCCAGCTTGATAATTTTATTGAATTTAGTGAATGGAAGACATTTTTATTTAAAAAAATGAAAGTATTACTGATAAGAAATACTGTATAGGTATCCAACAAAAAATAAGCCACAGATGGAAATCATTCAGCATGCTAAAAGCAGAGTATAGTCAGCTTCAGACTTACTGGACTTAAATTAACTATATTCAAATTGTGAAGGAAAAAAATGCACATTAAAAAAAATAGACCTGATACTTGCAAGGCTGAAGCAGGAGGACTACTGCCAAGTTTCAGCCCAACCTGGCTACCTTAAAAAAGATACACAGTGAGTTAAGCAAAGTCTGAACTGCATACCAAGACCCTGTTTCAAAACACCAAAACTGGGGTGGTGGAGGTGATAACAGAGGGCTGGGGATGTGCTGCTCAGTGGCAAAGTACAATACTTGCCTAATATGGCTGAGGCCCTGGATTCAACATTCAACAACTGCATTCTGCCTCCAAACAGAGATAGGTCATTGAATAATGTGTGAAAAGGAGGACAATACTAGAAATTTTAATGCTTTCTAACAGCTTTCTGGAGATTAACTCTTTCCCAAAGCTTTAGAATCTTAGATACACCCTTTGTGATGTAGCAACATACAAGGGGTGACCAAAACATACAGTAAATGTGTTCTTTAAAATTTACTGTAGTAAAAGACATTACCATTAATCACCCTTAAAATACCCCCCCCCTCTTGTTTTGAATACACTTATCCCATCATTATTGTCACTTTCTGAAGCAGTTTTTAAAAGTCCTCTTTGATGAGGGTCCCTATGAGATCTGATTTAAAAAAAAAAAAAAAAAAACATAACTTGCTACTGAGTGTCATCTAAAGAAAAGCCAGGTTCATAAAAACATTATCATGTTCTCATTCATCTTATTCATCAGATCTGGCACTGTGCAACTTCTAGCTTTTCCCCCTGCTCAAAACGGGTCATGAAAGGTAAACATTTTGAACTGAGTCAGGACAGTGAAGCAGCCAGGACAGCACAACTAAGAAGAAATAAAAGAGGACTAACTTCAGAAAGTGGCAAGAACAAGGGATAAGCATGTTCTAAGAAAGGGAAAGTATGACGGGGTGATTGACGGCAATGGGTAATTTTTATAAATTTAAACATTCTCCAGATTTTAAAAGTATATCTTATATACACAGAATATGTACAAAAATGCAAGGAACTTGCATATGAATCAAGTAACCCTGAAGGGGACATCTAACTATAACTTGTGAGAAGATAGTTACCTTTACCAGCATCAACCACAACATATCAGTACTTGAACCTAAAACATCCTGACAGTTCAAAAAAACAATCCAGGAACTCCGTATGTGTGTGTGTTACTATTTATTTTTCTTTTGATACCACTTAAGATGAAAGTTTGATCATCTGTTAAACACTATTTTCATTTATTCATTCAGTTTCTGATTGTATATTATGCTCCATTTTAATTATTACAAATTAACATTAAATAAAGTCACAATATTTGTGATTCTGTAGCCCAATAAAAGTATGTAATAACCCTATTCACATCTCCAAGAATTTCCACTTTTTATTATGCCACCTTCAAGTGTTTGTCTTTCTAGTGTAACAGCTCTAACCTTGTTAGTCTATTCTTTCACAGAACTTATTTCTACTTGCCCCACAAATTACTCAGAAATGTACCAAAACAGGTAACTTTTAAGCAATGGTGATGGTGGTAGTAGTAATAACATAGCAGCTAACACAATTTGTTTTGTATGCCAAAAATATGTATTCATATTATGTTACATGTAAGATAAGTACTGTTTTTAACGCTTGTTTTAGAGATGCGAAAATAAATATGTCCACTACATTTTTTCTCTGTAGTGTTAGAGATTGAACCTAGGGGCACTCCACAACTAAGCCACATAGCCAGCCCTTTTTGTAGTCTATTTTGAGACAAGATCTCCCTAAGTTACCTATATTGGCTTTAAATTTGTGATCCTACAGCATCAGCCTCCTAAGTAGCTGAGATCACAGGAATGCATCACCACCATGTGTCCACTATAATGATGTTCTCTTATCTATATTGTATCTTCCACACAATCTCTAGTTCCACACAATCTCTACTTTAAATTTTATAATTCAACTCTCTTCATACTAATTTTCCCCCCTAAGTTTAAGGCTTATATGAATTAGTCTAAAACAGTCCCAGTACTCAGGAGGCTGAGGCAGGAGGATCATTACATAGTCCAAACCCAGTCTCAACTATTAGACCCTGTGTCTCACAAAAAAACAGAAACAAAAAACACACAAACAAACCAACCAAAAAAGCCCCCCAAAACACACTCAAGGATATATTCAAAAGGTATGTAAAGTTTGACCAATTAAATTTTGCTTAATTAACATAGCCCTGAACTCAAGTGACATGACTTCCTGTTTAAAAACTTGTTTTCTATATATGCTTAAGATAGCAGGAAGACAATTTCAAATGGAATTCACACCTCTTTAATAATCCTTTTAATGTGAAATTATGGTTTTAAAGCAACACACTTACCTATTCTGCACCTGAGTAGCTGCAAAATGAACATAATTCTTCTTTTCAAGAAGCTTAGCCAACAAATTCTCAATTGCACCTTTCTGATTTTGAAAAGCTTCTTCCAAAAACTGGTACCTTAAAATTAAAACAAAAACTACATTTAAAACACATTTACAATTAACATTTGGAAAACCAAGGAGAGTTATATGATTCCATTTTTTAAATTATGAGTACATGTTTGTAGTACATAATGTAACAGTATTCGTCAATACTGAAACATTAAATATCTATATACTGGCTACCTCCATATTACTACACCTTAACAGTAACTTTTAGCTGGCAATTATTTTCCCCAATCCTGAAAGCCAAGAAGTTGTGATTCAAGATTGCATTTTTTAAAAATCCAAATACTGAAGTTAAATACATTTCAAATAATAAAATACAACAATACTATACAAAACAGTATCAAAGGAGGAAAAAAATCACTCGTAGTTTTAATATTACAAAAATCACTGCTATGATTTTCATGTAATATAAGTGTGTATTAATTTGGCGATGCTAAGGATTAAACCCAATGCCTCACACAAGCTAACAAACACTACCATCTACTTACATCCCTGCGCTAATTATACATTTGTAAATACAAGCATAATAACAATATACATGCAATATCATATATGATTTGTATTCACCGTGTCTTTAAATCATACATGAAAATTTTCACACTCAGATGCCATATATAACAAAACTTTCCAAAAGTGTTATAGGAATTAAGGATACCATCAACACCAGTTTTACTATAAGTCTATCAACCTAAGTGATACATTCAAATTTTTTCTAATATATTTAGACAACAGTGAAGTCTAGAGTTCTTTGGTTATCAAGAAGCTAGAATAATAATTTTTTTTTGTTTCACTTACTTTTTTGCACATTATTCATGAAACCAACAGATTAGTTTCTTTTACATACTTTCCACATGAGCAAAAGGCACACAGTCCAGTAATATAAAGGCAAAAGCATGAATTGATATCAAACTGAGACAAAAGGTATAATGGAGGTAGTATTAGTGCCTAAACTGGTATCAATACCAAGGGAACTTTGTGGATAGTCAGAATGGTATCTTCTGCTAAGTTGAGACATGTTTATTATACTACAAAGACTTCAATATGGCCAAAGAGAAATGTGCAAAGATAAGATGTCACAGTAACATTTTAAATCTAGAGGCACTCTGAAGGGCTTGGGATACCATGCTACTTCTGCATTTTATTCTCTATATAATGGAATGTACCTGAGGAATTCTTAACAGAATGTGAAAAGCAGATTTACATTCATGAAAGTCACCAGACAGAAATGTAAAAGACCTAAGGATGAGGGCAGAAAAGGAAAGACCAGTTAGAACTTTAAGCACTCAGATAAAACACAATACTGGTTCGTATAACCAAACATGATGGACAACTGAATTCATCAAGAGAGATCAGAAGCTTTGGTGATCTGGGAGGCTGTGTCAGATATATTAAGATCCTAGGTACCACATAATATGAGTGCCCAAGTAAAACAGAATCAAAAAAAAAATATTACTAGTCCACTATGGTGGTTATGCCTGTAATCCAAGCACTTGGGAGGCTGAGGGAGAGGAACACTGCTAGTTTGAGGCCAGCCTAGACTACATTGTGGGTTCTAGGCCAGCCTGAACTACTACATGAGACCCTGTCTCAAAAGAACAAAAGCAAACACCAACCAAAACAATAACAAAATTCCATACTAACCCTTTCAATTTAATGAGCTTCATTTACATTGTGAATAATAAATATCTTTTTAAAGTAGGGCTTGATCATGTCAGCAACAGGAAAGCATGTGTAGAAAAATCAATTAGTATCAAAATTCAGTTTATAAAATTTCACCTGGTATGAATTTTTGTGAACGTTTCAGAATCTTGTTCCTAAGAAGTATCGTTGCATTTATGTGAACAAGAAATAAGCAAGCATGCTATTTTCATAAATATGTATACCTAGGTGAACACAGGTAGTCTTTCCTCTCTTTATATAGGGATTGACACTTAACTAGACACTAAAGCATCAATAAGAGCTTCTTGGGGAGACTAACATGTATGTAGGGAATGTAAGAGCCTTTACTGAAAAACAAAAAAAGCTAAAAGTACAATTGCACAGTATTTTGAAATCAGCTGTCACTCAGTAAAAGGAGAAGCTAGAAGAGCTGTAAGTATCAGATGCTCAAGAACCCAGTATATCATGCTGAGCTTGTATTCAAATATTAAATAATGGTGAACCATTAAGAAACTGATTGAAAAATAACAGTGACATTTGTCTCTGATCATCTGAACAAAGTATAACTGTATAACTTAAACAAAAATACAGACATTTGGGAAAAAAAAGTCACATTATGAAAGCAGCCCTGATTTCAAAGGACCTCTGATAGTTTATAAACTTACAAAAAATTTCTCAATCAAAATTACAACAGAATTACTTCAGAAATGGTGAGAAAAATTCAATAAATGGATTAAGTATAAATCTGATTACTATGTTAATTCTTACAGTAAATTCTTGGTTGTTTAATCTTGCATTATGAGACAGATTCTTAATATGAGCTTCTTAAGTCACAATGAGCTATTTTCAGGAGCACTTCAAAATATTTAAATAACTTTATGTATGCCTACAATATAGTTTAGGACAGTCTAAGTAAAAACATTCTATGCTTTAAGCTAGAATTACTTAAACTCAGTATAATAAATGTACCACTGGCTATCTGATTTTGATCAGAATTAATCAGCATGCTTATGTGGCTTTTAACTGAGAAACAAATTATACTTAATGTAGTTGGTTAAGACATTTTAAAAAATATGGTGCTTAGGAATAAAGAATGGGGTGTCGGGGGGAATCAGGAAGACAGCTAAACTCCTGCCTGTGAGCCAGCTGGAGCATGGACCAAGGAGAACTAGGAAGGAAGCTAACCCTTGCCTGTGAGCCAGCCAAAAGCCAGAAGTCTGAGCCAACTACTTAGGGGACAACAATATGTAATATAGTAACTATTGTAGATTTCCTATTGTCTTATCACTGTTTCATTTCATTTTATTGTTAATTCCTTTTAAAATAAAAAAGGAATAAAGAATGGACGATAAATAATAAAATCATTTTTTTACAAGGCTGAGAATCACTCAGTTAATAACTACATTTTAAAATAAACATAGGAGATCCTAAGTCCTGAACAGTACTATTCCACCTGCCAAGTAAGTACAGTATTATTCTCAGTCGTCACTATGTATTACTGATTTGACTCTGAGTCATACAGGAAAATACATTATTGTAATGTATAAGCAAACTGACTATTTAGGGAAACTTTTTTATTTTTATTTTTTGTCTTTTTCCTTTTTATCGGTACCAGGGATTGAACTCACGACTGCCTGCTTGCAAGGCAGGCGCTTACGTCGCTGAGCTAAATCCCCAGCCACCAGGGAAACATTTTTTACAAAAATAGCTCAGGTTCACTTTTCTTAAGTTATTCTGTTTTTTAAACTGAAAAAAATTCTGAACATATACTCAAGTTTTAATTCCACTGAATCTGTCATTTACTCTCAAAAATTTTTATAGCCCGTTTTGTCTACATTTACCTACTGTATATGTTACATTACACTGAAGAAAACTCCAAACGAAGTTATTTCTCTATCTACACATAGCAAGCAAGCCTGTTTTGAGACTTCTACTAAATGTACAGGTACTTGAAACTTTCTGTGTAGGAGGTTGGGGGATGCAGGGGAATCAAACCAGGGTTCACCTATGTTAGGTAACCACTCTTGAACTGAAGCATGCCCCAATCACTGAATTTCTAGAAAAAGTTCTTATTTACCTTTAAAGGACTGTTACCAGAATTAAACTGATCAAAACACAGCAAGCACTTAAGGCAGTAAGACAAGTATTAAGTCACTGTTATTCTTTGCAGCAATTTTAAAGAATTTACAGTTATACAAACCAAAATCTCAAACCTTCAATAATAACAAAAAGCCTACTATGCACACAAAGACCTCATAAGTGTATTTTGAGAAAAAAATTTTTTTTGAAAAAACCTGTTATTTAAAATTCCAGAGTCCAAGAATAACAACTAGAGCAAGTGAGTCCAAGTAGAGTAAGTGTCTCAAAAACCAACATTTACAGCACAGCTGAACATCTGACAGAAGGGAATGTGGGAGAATTTTAAACTTTTTCATTCTTTGCCACAATGTTTATGGAACTATAAGGAAAAGGAAACCAGGAGTTGTTTCCCAGGCAGAATACCATAGAAACAATTATAGGTAAGTTAATACTTTATGATAATGAAGCATATGGTGACTATATAATTGACTGTTAAAAATTCTCACGGCAAGAAAAGACAAGCAGGAAGTACAGAAGAAATTAGAAAACCAATCTGTGTAATTCACAAGAATCGAAATGCCCATATTAATACAGAAAAACTTTGCAAGGTATTAAACCTTAGATTAACAGATGATATGATCAGGGAAGTGGATATTGATAGTCATGATCAAGTACTATGAAGACTTTGTATAAATGATAACAGTAAAGTGAAGATATTAAGTTGAATCAAGAAGATATACAAATTCTAAATAACCCAGTATCAATGAAATGGAAAATAAAATTAAAAATTTACCAACAAAGAAAAGCCCAGGTCCTGATGGATTCATTCCTGCATTCTACAAGAAATTTGGAGAAGACCTAAGGTCACTACTTATCAAATTCTTTAATGAATTTCAAAAAGAAGCAATACTCCCAAAGACATTCCTGGAACGAAAGTAGTACCTTAATACCAAGACCAGACAATGACCCAACCAAAAAAGAACTACAGGCCAATCTCCTTAGTAAATAAAATGCAAGAATCCTCAAGAAGATTATAGACCACGACCAAGTAGGATTCATTTCAGGGATGCAAGGATGGTTCAACATACACAAATCAATAAATGTAATATACTATTTAACAGAGCCAAGGACAAAAATCATATGATCATCTCAACAGATGTAGAAAAAGTCTGACAAAGTCCAGCACCCATTATCTCAGTCTATAAAGGCCATCTATGACAAACTTACAGCCAACAACATACTAAATGGTCAAAAATTGGTACCCTTCTAAAA